CCCCCCCCCCCCCCCCCCACTCTCTGCCCCACCCCTGCCTGTGCTCTATTTCTCTCTGTCTTTCAAAAATGAATAAACATCTAAAAAATTTTTTTTAATAAATAAAAATAAAAATCCATTTCATCTCCAAAACTTTTTCCATATTAACCACAGAGGTAAATACAGTCCAGCCTACAGAAAATATACTGGTTAATCTGTTAAAGTGTCTTACGAAATCCGTCTTTTATTTATGGAGATTTCATTATGGATTTTACACTTCTATATTTTTGCTCGTATTTGGGGAATGAGGGTTCAGACATGACTTTCACTCATGCAGAATACTAGATTTGATTCAGTCCTGTTGCCAAATGCCAGTCAGTTGTAAAGAATTTAGAAAAGGGGGTGGCTCAGTGGGTTGAGCATCCCACTCTTGATTTCAGCTCAGGTCCTGATCTCACACTTTTGTGTTTTCCAGTCCCGTGTCAGGCTGCGTGCTGAGAGGGAAGAGCCTGCTTGAGAGTCTCCCTCTCTCTCGGCCTCTCTCCCCTCTCTCAAAATAAGTCAATAAACTTAAAAAAAAAAAAAGTATTTAAAAAAGTAAGGGTAGCTAAGACACCCTGATAAGCTTTTTTTAATGTTATTTATTTTGAGAGAGAGAAAGAGAGCACCCTAGTAGGGGAATGACAGAGAGAGAGGGAGGAAAAGTCATAAGCAGTCTCTACACTGTCATTGGAGAGTCTGACACAGCGTTCGATCCCAGGAACCTGAGATCATGACCTGAGCCGAAATCAAGAAGTCAGATGTTTAACCAACTGAGCCACCCAGGCACCTTACACACTGGTAAGCTTTTTAGAATGTGCCCCTGGAAGATGCTTGGTTCAAACTAGCATATTATTCCTCCACTACCCCAAATCCAATATTTTATTTGTAAAATCAAGACAAAAACTTAAAATAATTTTCCTTATTATGGCATATTACACATAAATCGTGTCTTAAAACTTCCCGAAAGCCTGGTGACTTAATTGAATAAACTAACCCTACGAATTTTTATGAAGACGTTTTCTACCTCCTAGACATTAGAAAGCTTGTAGGAAAGGCATGAAATGACTTAGGTCTGAGAATGACCCAGCCAGAAACAAAACCAATCAATTAGGTGCATAGCTTTAACAAACTCGATCACAGAAGAAATTCAGGGGCGCAACAATACCTCGTTTTTCCAATAAGTATTGAATGAAAAATAAAATTTTATTTTTAAACTCTCTTCCTGGACATTTCCTATCATTTATTGTATATGATGTACCTGTTCTTAATCAGTTGCAGATAACTAGGTTTTCCCCTGGGAAGAACGCCATTCTTTCCTTTCTTTCCTGCCATTTAAGGAGTACCTCCTTTGTGTTGGATATTTTATGTATGAGTCATCTCCTTCTGGCGATATAACTTGTCCCTGGTGATATTTTTTTCCTTTTTGGCCTAAATCAGCTTACCTTTCACAAACAACAACAACAACAACAACACACACACACACACACACACCCCTCTGGAACTACCCATGTGTAACGCTTCTCTCTTTGGTGGATCTGAGCACATAATGTTACATCATGGATCAACAGAAACACATACAGAAAACAGGAAAGTGTTTCCAAAGTCAACACAATCCATGGGCTACAGACGGCCTTGTGGGGCATGAGTCACAACAGTTAAAATGTCCAAGTTCCCTTTTAAACGGTGACTTCACAAATACCGGATTATTCACGTGTCATGCAAAACAGATCCAAGTACTTTCTTAATTGTATCCAAGGATGTTGATGCTGTTTTCAGATTTCATTACAGACCATTCATAATATGCTACCTGTGAGCAAGCTTAGCATGAAGTAAAACCGGATGAAGTAAAACTAAATTGTGTGAGGGCTGGGATTGATGTTGAGAAACAGCATGAGTTCTGCGTGATACAACGTGTACGAAAAATGAGGGAAAAGATTTGGGTGAGTCATGAATCATGTGTTCTAGACAGGCATGGGTTGGGAAAATCAAGAGACAATGGGCAGGACCGACATTTCAACTGTTACCTTAGAAAAAGATTATCTTGGGGCACCTGGGTGGCTTAGTCAATTGAGTGTGGGACTTTGGCCCAGGTCATGATCTCGGGGCTCGTGAGTTCGAGCCCCACATGGGGTTCTCTGCTGTCAGCCTATCAGCACAGAGCCCACTTCAGATTCTCTGTCCCCCTGTCTCTGCCCCTCCCCCACTTGTGCGTTCCCCAAAATAAATAAATATTTTTAAAAAAGGAGAGCGATTATTTTAACATTTATCGATGTATATTTGAATGCTGACCTGTTCCAAAGAAGAACTTCCAAGCAGAATTGTATTTTTCTGAACATATCCTTCAGATGCCTCGCTGCCCTCTTTGTGGGATTCCGGTCTCTTTCTGGAATTCACTGTCTCTTCAGAATCCAAAATCTCCTCCTGGTGGCTCCCATCTATTCGCCCCAAAAGGATCACACGAAACTTGACTTTCTCTATGTCAATTTAACGTTGGCTGAACACACAGTAATCTAACCACTTTTTTTTTCTTATAGGGGATAAAGCTTGGTTTTCCGTAATCTACAGTTTAAGCAAATTATTTTCTGTCTAATGTACCAGGAAATCGCTAAAGCCTGGAGCAAGTTTTAAGATTACAACACAACCACAACACCAACAACTTTTGTTCCTCTTCCTGTGATGCTCACAAAGTGGGTAAAGTATAGGTTCTGCATTCCAGCCTTTTTTCCCACTTACCAAATAGATCCTGAAGTGTAGATACCCTGTGTTTCGGTGCCTTAATATTACATGTTGTTTACCACAACATCTAGCAGTTCTTGTTGTTTTGCTAAAACCAACTCAGGAGATGAAGAGGTTCAGAAGAGGCCAGTGCACTTGGGTTCATTTTTCTTTTCTTTTCTTTTAATGTTTCTTTATTTTTGAGAGAGAGACAGAGACGGAGCATGAGTGGGGGGAGGGGCAGAGAGAGAGGGAGACACAGAATCTGAAGCAGGCTCCAGGCTCTCAGCTGTCAGCACAGAGCCCTATGTGGGGCTTGAACTCACGAACCTGAGCCAAAGTCAGACACTTAACCAACCGAGCCACCCAGGCGCCCCGGGTTCATTTTTCAAGTGGGGAACGCGGAGAACAGTTCCCAAGCTATGCAAACACAGAGGGACTTTATTTGGGTTGCCCTGTTTATTTGCATAGAAGTGCCTGCATGTCTATAAATGCTGCATGTACATTATTTCTCTCTCGATCATCTGAAAACGGTAGCATCTACAAAATGCATTTCTTCATCTAGCTGGATAGACACTGTAAATATAAAACAAACGTCTCTCTTCCAGGCTCGGAAACAAAAACGCCAGAAGATAAAATATGGGATTTTCCACGCCTTCCAAAGTTAGAATTTTAACAAAAACCTAGGCACTTTTAACCAAAGGAAGAGAGCTTGGTTTCCAGCAAGACGTGAGGCGGGGAACTGAAGAGAGAGAGCATTGGACTACAGTGTCCAGAGTCCTGTTGGCCTTTCTTCTTTGTTCACGGATACACTGTCTCGCCTTGCACGAGTCTTTAAACCTTCTAGAGCTCAATTATATCCTCGTGTATAATATAGCTGATAAGGAGCCTGACTATTCACTCTGCAAGTTCCATAAGCCTTTTGTAAGCTCACAAATGATTTCGAAAGTCTGTTAGGTGCTACCTGTAAACGTGTACCTGGGTGGCTTCCAGGATCCAAGTTGCAAAGACGTGTCAGAATCGAAGGGGCATGATAGATAGAAAAGTGCATTGCTCAATGTTTAGCACACACACACAAAAAGGTATTCAATATCTATTTGCTAACTCAGATATTAGACTAAAAATATAGAAGTCTCACTTACTCAAACATAACCATTTATGATGTTTAATTTTATGTGTCCGCTTGGCTGGGCTGTGGCGTCCTGTTCTTTGTTCACATTTGGGTCTAGATGTTGCCATCCAATGTGATTTTTAGATGTGATTAACATTTAAAAGGTCAGTAGACTTTGAGCAACATAGATCACCCCTTCATGATGTGGGTGGGCCTCACCCAGTCATCTGAAAGCCCTAAGACTAAAAGATCGGGGCGTCCCAAAAAGGAAGGAATTGAGTCTCAAGACTGCAAGCTAGGAAATGTGGCCTGAGTTCTTGGCCTGCTGGTCTGCTCTGTGGATTTCCATCTCACGACTGTACCTCTATCTTACTTGAATCTCCAGCCAGCTGTCCTGTGAGATTATGACTCAAGCCTTCAACTCCTGCCTGAATTTCATATCAACTCTTACCTGAATCCCCACCCTACCAGTGTGTCCTAAGGATTTCAGACTTGCCAGCCCCCATAACTCTCTCTTTCTATTGGTTCTACTGCATTCTGCTTTCCGGGGGAGTCCTGACTAATTGATTATTCAAGTTAGGATTTCTCAAAACAAGGGATCAAGCTGGCTTGAAAAATGAGTTTGTTTGGTTTATAAAGACAAAATGAAATAAAAAGTTACACAATCTGATCATTAAAAAGCAAAGGGGAGATGTATCTAGGGAGGAATAAAATTTTTAGGGGATGCTATTCTGTAAATGGGGATTTAAAAACGGGGCCTAACCTTTAGGATTGTTATGACATTTAAATAAATTAATATTTACACTATTTAGAATAGAATGGTCTTAAGGCAGTGCCAGGCACGTAGTAAGAACTCAGTAAATGTCTAGCTGGTGTTAATATTTTCATTATCATCAATTATCTTCACCATCATTTCATCAATTATCAGTTATCATCAGTTATCTTCATTATTCTCTGTATGTGCTTATGATGTCTGCCCACATAATAATTAATAATTTAATCCCCGTAGCTACCCCGTTGTGGCAAGTATGATATGTCCGTTTCACAGAAGTGTCAAAGAAACGTTAAGAAATTGGCCCAAGGTCACACAGTAAATGGTGAAGATTAAACATACAGTCAATAGAAAAATACCATAAAAAATAGAGGGCTTAACCATGAGTCCTGCCTCCTCACATGAATTTTAAAGAATTATTTAAATAAGAAAGACAAGGGGCGCCTGGGTGGCTCAGTCGGTTAAGCGGCCGACTTCAGCTAAGGTCATGATCTCACGGTCCATGAGTTCGAGCCCCGCGTCGGGCTCTGTGCTGACAGCTCAGAGCCTGGAGCCTGTTTCAGATTCTGTGTCTCCCTCTCTCTGACCCTCCCCCATTCATGCTGTCTCTCTCTGTCTCAAAAATAAATAAACATTAAAAAAAATTTTTTTTTTAAAAATAAGAAAGACAAAATGATCATTTGAGAAGAACTAAGCAAACACTAAAGAAAAAAAATAGAATTTTTCCCCATGAATTTGAATTCATGTGTATACAACTGACACTTAATGCTTTGGTAAAAACTCCAGTGTGGTTCTGGCATGAATTTGTATGTGTTAACCTAAGAATTTAGATTTTAGTTTTTAAGGGATTACCTGTAAATTCCTAGATTAATACACATGAGAATTACTTACTTAAAGAGCCTAACATTCATAAATATGAACTCCCATGCTAAGATTGAAGACAATATACTACTTGTCTTCTATCACCCAAAGCACTTATTTAAAAGCTAAAACACACTCTTTAAAAAGAATGGCTTCATATTAGAGAATCCAAATATGCCATATGCCATTGTAAGATCCCGCAATAGTAAGTAAATCATTTTTGCCATTTAGGGTTATAAATTCTATGTACTTATAGAAAATTGGGCCATGTTTAGCTTTCCCCCCAACTTTAGCTATATTTAGGGATTTGCAGCCATCAGAAGCACACATAGGTCACCAATCAATGGTTATATTTAGAAAATACAGATTAGCTTTTGCAAGAAACCGTCTTAATGAATTTGCAACTAATGTTAATACAAAAGGTTGAAAATAATTAGTCTCTTACCTTGGGCTTCTCCTTGTCCTCTCTCCTCAAACAGCTTCATTAATCGATCATTGAGAATTCTAGTATCAACTTGCAGGGGTGCTAAAAGAACATATTTATGGTAACTCTCTCATCAGTTAATTTAATTACAAAAAGAAATTATCAACCATTATGGCTATTTGGTTATTTATAGGTCATAGACACAAATTCTATCCAATATGCTGCCTTGTTCTGAAATAAAAAAAAAAACCTTTAGTAAATCAATGATAACTGGAACAAGGACTTTTAAATGTATATCACAGGCTATTCATAATAGGATACTTCTTCTCCATTAAAAGTGATCTGATATTCAATGGAATATGGTATATACTACACAAGAGTCATTTCAGAACAAGCCATTATGGTTTGTCAAATCATAGAAAAGAATATTTAAGCAAAATGAATATTTTCTACTAATACTCGCTGTATATCTTATTTTTTACTGAATATATATAGGAAACAACAAACTTAGGTGGTGTTAGGTGGTCTTAGATTCCCATATATATGCTAATGCAATATAATAGCAAATACAAATGCTACTTAGTTCTTTTGTGAACCTAAAGTAACAAGGTTATGTCAGTACAAAAAACACAAACAACCAAAGAATCAAAGAAAAAACACATAATCATAAAAACACGACACTGGAAGAGGGTTTAAAGAATCATCCAGGTAGATTTGCTGCTGGAAAGAACCAAACATAAACGATGCCAATGTGGAGGACCACCCCGGTCTTAGAATTCGAATATACATACATACATCAAATATGTTCCCCTTCCCATAGAAGGCAAGTGAACCAGCTAAACTGTGGTTGCACTTTTACAGTAGTAGTTTTAATCCAGCCCAAGTATTCCTACTACTTATCTCTCTCTTTGCACTCCATGGGTGAGCCAATGCTGAAGATGGTCATTAAACTCTGCAACTCACACCTGAAACTCTACCACCAAGTGGTCTAGAAGAGCCTTGAGGGGTCTTCACTGAGCCAGTTAGAAGTTCCTGAAAATTCCAGGTCTCCCCTTTCTATCCATGCCTATGATCTTTTGAACATTAGTGTTGGGGAAAAAATCCAGTGTAGCCTATACTCATAGGCTTAGGTTGCTGGAGCCAGATAGAATGGTTGAAAGGTCAACCTAAAAAGGTCTTTAAAGTTAGTAGTTTCTGCTCATTGAATCCTGCAGATGGCTTTCCCAAGTAGCAGTTGACCTGCAAGCGTTCTTTTCTTGACAAGGGCCAGCACAAACCTCCTACCACCCCAACACTTTGGGAAAATGGAGAGGGGCCATTTCTGGAAGCCATTTTGCAAATTTTGTATCAGGGAAGCATGAACTTGCATTCCAGCATTGCCTGGATCTTTATAACTCTTAGTGGAACAGTTACAAAACTTACAAAGCTGATATATGGCTCATAAAAGAATCTTATTTGGAAGTTAACAATGAGCAATAGCAAAGGCGTAGATGGGGAAATACCTACAGATGTAATAAAAGCTTCAATATAAGGACTTGGTGGTCCTGACACACCGATGGGGGTCACAGACAAGAATAAATGAACATGCATTTGGATGTTAAAACAAATGGATAGCCAAAAGGTAAATGGGATCAATACAGAGATAACATCTTTAGAGAGAGGCAAACCTTCGTCCAGATGCCAACTCTGCCACTTACTCGCTCTGTAACCTGAGGCAGATTCTTAGAGCCCCTGAACTCGAATCTCCTTGCCCCAAAGATGAAATGGTTGTGAGGGTTAAGAAGATAACACACATAAAGCACCTCGCTTCATTCCTGGCATAGAGTAGGTACCCAGTAAAGGGCAGCCACCCCCCCCCTTTACTTGTTTGTTAACCATTTAGCAAGTGTATGAAGTGCATACTTTTTCAATAGTTTAGATTCTGTGATTCTGAATTAGTGTTTGTGTTTTCACTATGAAGTAATGAATTCTAGACCACTTTTGGGGTGTTGTATGAGAGAAATCTGAATAAGAGACCCCTAACCAATAATTGTTATAGAGGTTCTGGTTTCTTTCCTTACCAGGCAGACCCGGTAGGGAAACCCCCTCAATGATGCCCCAATAAAACCCTGGAGAGTCAAACGGGTTACATAAGACAGAAACTGAAAACAAGAGAATGTCCCCTTCAAACTCAAATTCAACAATTTGGATGAATCTGCTTATTTTCCCCTCCAGAAATTTTCCCAAAGGGAAAGGTAGAGAAAGCCAACAGCACAAATGTAACTCCCGAGGGGAAAGAGAACAGACAGAGCCAAAGACGGGGGTTCCCTCCATGCTTGCCAGATCTCTGTGATCTTAAGAAAAATACTAAATCTCTCTAAGCTTGTTTCTTCATCTTAAAAGTGGAAATAATAACAACTACTTTGGGTGATTTTGCATTGGTGGGTCAGAGCTACTATACCCACCTGAAGACATCCCTTGACCACTCAGTAAGTCATAATAACCAATGTTTACAGAAGACTTGCCAGGTTTTGGATACTATGCTTAGCACTTCACGTTCATTTAGTCATTTATATATGAACTCAACAAATATTCCTCAAGTCGACTCATGTTCTATGCCATCTGCTGCGGTAAGATTTAAAAATTCATCAGCATGGGGCACCTGGGTGGCTCAGTCAGTTAAGTGTCCGACTCTTGGTTTCAGCTCAGGTCATGATCTCACAGTTTCATGAGTTCAAGCCTCTTGTCTAGCTCTGTGCTGGCAGGGCAGAGCCTGCTTGGGATTCTCTGTCTCCCTCTCTCTCTGCCCCTCCCCTCACGCTGACTCTGTCTCTCTCAAAATAAAAAAAATAAACTAAAAAAAGTTCATCAGTGAACAAGGTAAGCAATATCTCTGCCCTCTGTGTTCAGAATATGGGGAGAAATACATATCACGGATAACCTCACTAATAAAGAGATTCGTGATCATTCCGTATGAGTGTGATAAAGAAGGTATACAGGGAAACATCACCTTGGTTAGTCAAGGGAGTTGAAAATTGACATTTAAGCCAAAACTTTGGGAAGAGAGTCCAATGGCCAGTAAGGAGGCTGCCCCAGCATCTGGTGAGTGTCTGGTGTCCAGAAAGAGCTCCATGAATATAAGGAACAAAAAGAAGTCCCACGTGGCCAGAGCACAGTGAGCATGTGGCGGGAACCTGAGATGAAGAAGGACAGTATATCGGTCTTTACCTTGAAAGCAATAGGCAACAATAAGAGAGCATCAATGAGGGAGTGGCAAGACGCTGTGTGGACAACAGATTAAAGGAGAAAAGGCACGGATGTGGACAAAAGCAGTCCAAAATATTCCAGATAGGAGCTGGTGTTCACTTGAGACTGGGTAGGAACAGCAGAGATGCTGGGAGGCAACAAAGAACGAGATCTCATGTATCTTGTGATTCCTGTGTCAGCAAATAAACATTAGGTGCTATATATGAGCCAAACATTACGCTGGAGTCTAAGGACCTTTAAGGTTTAGTGGAAAAGAAAGCTGCTAAAGAAATAAGTATAGCGATAAATATGTAAATAATAACTAGGATGCGTGTCAAAGGAAAAAGAGTGATGAGAGAAAGAGAAGCATAATTAAAGTCTGGTGATCAGGGAAAACACATTTCGTGTGTCAAATCCATGGGCCTCAACACTCTGTAAGGTATTATTATGAATTAATTATTATTAAATAAATTCAACATGTGATGGTTAACTTGATGTGTCAACTGGGGGTAAGCTGTGGGGCCCAGTGGTTTGGTCAAAAGTCAGTCTTGATACTTCTGTGACAGTATTTCTTAGATGTGATTGACATTTACGTTGGTACACTTTGAGTAAAGCGAGTTACTCTACAGAATGTGGGTGGGCCTCATCCAATCAGTTGAAGACATACGGGAAAATGCAGGTTTCCCAAAGAAGTCATTCTCCTCAACACTGCAAGATAGAAACTATGCCTCCATTCCAGCCTGTTGCCCTGATGAATTCAGTCTCAAGACTGCATATCAATGCTTGCCTGAATTTCACATCAACTTTTACCCGAATCTCCATCCTACCAGCCTGCCCTATTGCCCTGCAGATCGACTTGCCAGCCCCCACAGTCACATGAACCAATTTCGGAAAATAAAAATAAATCTCCCTTTCTTTTTGTCACTCTTTCTCTCTCCCTCTGTGTGTGTGTGTGTGTGTGTGTGTGTGTGTGTGTGTATGCACACACATATATATACATAAAATATAGGTATTATATACATGTATATTATATGCATTATGTAATACATACAAACAAAAAGAGAGCCTATTTATTGGTTCTGTGCTCTGTTTCTTTGGAGAACCCTGATACGTAAGCTAATATTACCTACATCAAATCATATACACATGTAAAATAATAAAACGGTGTGCAGCTTTGGAGTGGATGGTATATAGAAGCACTGAGATCTGAAGTCCATATTAAGTAAAGTGTATTTACCAAGAGCCAAGAACCAATTGTCCATTGTTTATACAATCTTTGTTACATAAAAATTAACATACTATCCTGCCAGGACTTCTTGCTAAAAAGAGAAAATGGCGGTGGTGTTGGTAGATTGTTGACACTGAAAAAGAGTCATAAATTCTACAAAACATTGAACGTTGTCTAACATATGTCCCTTTATGTTTAGATTCCAGGAAGCACAAAGTAAGATAAGTGCTTGAGTATAGGTATAATACCGTCCTCTATTTCTCATACATTTACTTCTCCCTTTTTTGGTGCCCCCAAATCCCTCTTTCATCTATATTTGAACTCTGCTTTCACCATATACATTTACATTTCTATTATACGCTGCCTCAAACTGTTTTGGAAGTAAGTAGAGAACAAATTATAAATAGCTTTGCCACACCTACTGTAAGAATCAAGACGATTCTCGGCAATGAGACTGACAACCTTCCAAAAAATGTCGACATCATTCAGAGTGATCTCATGAAGGGCCCCGGAGGAATCCTGTGAAGGGACTTAAATCATGTCAATACAGGGGCGCCTGGGTGGCGCAGTCGGTTAAGCGTCATTCCAACCAGGTATGATCTACATGATCCGTGAGGGGTTCAAGCAGAATCCCTGAAATACCTGGGCTATTAACAAACCTGGAACTATCTCTTCCTGTGTCTCCTCTCTCTCTGCCTCCCGTTCCATACTCTGTCTCTCTCTGTCCCAAAAATAAATAAACGTTGAAAAAAAAAATCATGTCAATACAGAACTCAGTCTCTTTGGAAAGAAAAGGAAGAGGTTCTGACTTGACAAATGGTGGGAAACAGAAAAGAACTGGCAGGGCACCTGGGTGGCTCAGTCGGTTGGGCGTCCAACTTCTGCTCAGGTCATGATCTCACAGTTCGTGGGTTCGAGCCCCATGTAGAGCTCTGTGCTGACAGCTCAGAGCTTGGAGCCTGTTTTGGATTCCGTGTTTCCCTCTCTCTCTGCTCCTTTCCTGCTCACACTCTGTCTCTCTCTCTCTCTCAAAAATAAAATAAATATTTTTTAAAAATTTTTAAAAAAGAAAAAACTGGCTACTCTTTGCAGCATCCGTAGTCACATATAGACCACGGTCAAGGGCGTTACACTGGGCTTCCGTTACAAGACCACGTCTATGGATGCTCACTTCCCCATCAACATTGCTATTCAGGAGAATGGTTCTCCTGTTGGAATCCGGAATTTCTTGGGTGAGAAATACATCTGCTGGGTTTAGATGAGGCCTGACATTGTTTGTTCAATCTCTCAAGCCCAGAAAGATGAGTGAATTCTTGAAGGAAACGACATTGAACTTGGATTGAACTCAGTTGCTTTGACTAGGTAAGCTACAACGGTTAAAAACAAGGATGTCAGAAAATTTGGGAATGTTATCTATGTTTCTGAGAAAGGAACAGTTCACCAGGGCTGATGAGTAAGATCTAAGTCGTCCAGCTACAGACACAGCAAGATGCCGGTGATTTTTCAGACTTAACTGTGATATTTTCAAGATGCGATAAAAGCTGTATTGACTCGGGGGGAAAAAAGCAAATGATAAACAAATGAATATGAGAACAAAGCTGAACCAGGGTGAAGATAGATGGCAAACGATGTAAAGATGGCCACCTGCTTGAAAATGTAGGACTCAGAGGGAAGTACAGGCATTGGACAATCACTGCGGACTAAGGAAGAGTGACCCACAATATTTTATTCTATTACACTTACTTGTCCATGGTTAGAGCCATTCATATCTTATCGAACATCTTATTAAGTCAACTTTCGTCCTTACATTACAAAAATTCCCCCAATGCAACTATATATTGTGATCTCCGAGGAATTAAAACAGACTTCAGGAAGAATCCAACCAATAACTCCTCTCCAGAATTCACTGGGATTACCTTTCATCCCTCAAGTGTATTGGGCAAATAAAAGGCTGGGATTTTTTTTTCAGTTTTCAGTTCACCTTGCTTTGGGCTACTGCTAAAAACTATCCTGAGAGTAAGTCCTCGCCTTCTCTTGTACATGTCTCTTTTGATGATATCCGTGGATTCTGTATCGTCTAAAATTAGGCATAGTTACTGAAAACTGTCTTTTCAAAAAATGTTTGCACTGTGTTTGATCCTTTTTATCGGAGGATTTACCCCTCTCTTTCACTAAAAAGTGCAGATTCAGTGACTGGCGCCCAACGGTGAAATACGGTCTTTGTTATTTTACAACTGCAACCAGACTCGAGGTTACAGAAGAAGAAATCAGAAGAAGTCATATCACTGCACCTTGTGGTTCAAAACTTAAGTGGTGGTTCCATGCGTTCCAATGAAAGGAATTCAGTAGTCACTAGGCAAGGAAGCTCCACATGCTAGATGAATTTTGCACTGCATCCAAGAATGCTCATTTTAAGCTCAAAGAGCAGAGGCGGCATTTGTAAAGGAATGATGCGCCTCATATACATAACACAGGCCTTATAATGACACCAAACTGCTTAAGGCCCCGTGTCAAATGAAAGCAAATTCTTGCTGCTTCTATCTGACCAGCTGGCTGTCCTTGATCAAAAATTACCTTCGCTGCCCATCACGTTGTTAGTGGTTAAAACTTACCATTTAAATTGTAAGCTGCAAAATCTAAACGGAACTGCATGTGTGATCTTTGTCACCTCATTTTCATGAATGGAAAAGAATATTCTGACACAAAAATTACATACTTAATTCTAGCTCACCCTCTCTGCTGACCTCCATCCCACACTGCCTTGGGTTTATTTCCTCATCCATCAGTGGGTCAAAGTAATTTCTGCTGTATTCATTTCCTGTGGAAAGTACACGAAGTAAGGGTCAGTGATTATTAGAAGCACATGAACCAAAATGTTAATTTTGAAATCGACACCAGCACAGAAGGGCCATTTTAGCTACTTTATAAGCTTAATTTTTGTACAAGTCTTTCCAGGCCTCCTTTTTTGTAATTATCATCTTGCAAAAGGTCAGAAAAGGTAATTCAAGAAACAAGTTCATGCTATCTTTCGGTTGCTAAAAAATTAATGAGAAAATTATCAAATGTAGACTTTAGAAAAATAATATAAAAAACTTAAGCAAAATTATGTTTAGGATAGGCTCAAAAAATGGACACTGTTGGATTACAGTGATGTTTCAAGTTCACCGATCGTTGTGTTTGCCTGCTTGTATATCATTCCCAAAGTAAACTGTGTTGTTGTTTCCGGAATTCTGTCATCGACTTACTAATACCTTCATTATGAGAAACTGTAGAAAATTTCCATGTTGACAGTTGAATAAAAACAGAGAGAGAGAAAATAGAGAGAAAGAGAGAGGAGGAGGGAAAGAAGGAAGGAAGGAAGGAAGGAAGGAAGGAAGGAAGGAAGGAAGGAAGGAAAGAAGGAAGGAAAAGGAAGGAAGGAGGAAAAGAAGGAAGGAATGAAGGAAGGGAAGGAAGGAAGGAAGGAAGGAAGGAAGGAAGGAAGGAAGGAGGAAAAGAAGGAAGGAATGAAGGAAGGGAAGTAAGGAAGGAAGGAAGGGAGGAGGAAAGGAAGGAAGGAAGGAAAGGAGGAAGGAAGGAGGGAAGGAGGGAAGAAAGGAATGGAAGGAAGGAAGGAAGGAAGGAAGAGGGAGAGAGACAGAAAAAGAAAAGCAAGTGAGAGATGGTATTGCTTATAGGTCTTTTTTGTTCTGTCAAGTTAAGTTACATGAAGGGAAGTTACCAATGATGCAGTCAGAAATTTGGTCAAAACACATCAACGCTCTCAACAAACTAACCAAAAACTCTCACTTTATGTTTCCCATTTACCTTTGTCCTTATCTCGATAATCAACCTGCAGCATCGAATATGACTTTGTAAGAGAGAAAAGGGCCTGTTATCAATTTTCCAAATCTAGTTTCATACTTCCTGCAGACCAAAATGTACACGTCCGTTGCTAGTAATTTGAACTCAGTAAAATATAACCTACTCTGACGATAATTCAAGTTGCCTCCAACACTGTCCAAGAAATAAAGCATCGTAGTCTGAAAACAATAGTACTTTTGAAAGTATTATTCACAGGAAAGGGTTAACATATACTAGGCACATGGTGATACTCCACGGTATATTTGATTTAGGATCAAAAATAATCCAACCAGCGTTTCCTTTTCCAAGACTAAATGGAATTTTGATATGAACCGAGGTTTAATTTATATTTCTGGACTGGCACATTTTTGCTGTCAGTCTCTGTTCCATCAACGTAGTAAGTACAAGAACTGAAAATCTGCTTTTCCTTGAGGTCTCAATAAAGGAAAAAAATAAATAAATGAGTTTCATTTTTGTTACTTTATCTGTCAACAACTACTAGGCTGGTATGAATCTTGGCAGTATGTAATCAAAGTCTTGTGTACTGCAATAACACAGCCGTTCTCCCTCATTCACTGTGATTGTTTTTGGTTTTTTCCCCCTCTACCACAAAGCACTGTGGTACCCTAAGCTCAGTCTTCCATATGCTCGCAAAATAACTCGCCTATATGAGAGCGCAGGGGGTGGTCTATTTCTTACTATTAATGGAAGCGACAGCCGTCAACAATCGGTGCCCAGATCCTGCAATCTCCCCCCATCAAGTACAAAACTCAATTCTTTGTCTCCTGAAACGACTTAGTAAATAACACCGAGAGAATCAAGACCTTGGAGAAAGAAACAGAGGGAAGTCATTTTTAACCAAAAGTCTGGAGAAGTTGATTTGCTTTGTAACCAAATGTATTAGCCAAATTTATCTGGTTCGTAATCATTTTCAATCCCTGCTGTCAGTGGAGAGATGAGGGTCCCGCCCAGCGGTGCAAGGGGGCCTGCCCCCTGGGATTGCTGGGAGACTCCAGCCCCCCCTCCCCGAGTGTCCCCTCAGGGCTGGGTGCTTCCGCAAGCCCCTGGGAGGTGGGCCCCTCAAAGGTCCATGTATGGTTTTGACATCTATGCAAATCGTTCCTCCCACATTCATTCTGGGCAGAGGCACACATGTAAGTTATAAATGCCATGCCTGGAGTGATTTATGTTGTGCTCCGCATTCTGGGAGAGGACAGGTAAACGCTAATAAGGAATCTTTACAAAGTAAGACAGGCAATCCACAGGTTCCCTTTTAGCATCCCCAAAGTTTAGCTTATCTTATCTTTCTTATCTTATGTTATCTTGTTATGTTAATGTTATGTAACTCATATAGTTTATATAATTCATATCTTTATATAATTCATGTATTTTATATAATTTATATATCATTATGTAGTTCATATAATTTATGTAATTCGTACATTTTTGTATATTTCATAACTTCATATATTTTTATATAATTCATATACCTTCATATAATCCACATATTTTATGTAACTCATATATTTTTTGTATTTCATATATTTTATATAATTCACATATTTTTTCATATATTTTATATAATTCATATATTTTATGAATATATATTTCATGTATTTTATATATTTTATAGAATTCATTATTTCTATTTCATATATTTATATAATTCATTTTTTATATAATTCATATATGTTAATTCATATGTCTTTATAAAATTCATATATGTTGTATAATTCATATATTTTTACAATTTGTGTATTTTCCACTATATTTTACATCATGTTGTACATTGTGTTACATATACAATATAATATATAACATATATTATACTTGATCTATAATATTATGCTTGTTTATTGTCTGTCTCCCCTACTAAAAAAAAAAAATCAAAACCTAAAAAACATGTTTTCAGACTAACCTAAAATAAAATTGTTCCATGGGGACAATGACATTATCTCTTTGTTTACTGCAGCCCCCTCGGGGTCTAAAAGTGTGCCTGGCACACAGAGGTACTCATAACATCTGAATTCATTTGTTAAATCAACCCTTCTCAGAAACCTACTGCAAATTCTTCCCTGTCTGAGATGATTTGTCTTGATTAACTGAACGACTTTTTTCCCACTCTTTATTCATCTCTTCCTTTCTATTCCCCACCCCTTCTATCCTTTCCTCCAAGATCCCTCTTCCCTTTACTCTTTAACTAAGTGCTTTCTAGGAACAAAATATTATGTTTGTGGATTTTAACAAGGAACAAACAAAGCACCATGGCCTCTGCCTTCAGAGCACAATGAGCTCAGAGAACAAGGAAGGGAAACTATGCAGTCTGGTAAGATTTAATACTGTGGTAAAGGAGTTCTGTTCTAGCACATAGCAGGAACATCTAACCCATAATACTGGGGACTTAGAGAAGACTCCCGGAGAAATTGCTACCTGACGTTAAGTTTCAAAATGTGATCGGGAATTAGCCAAATCTAAAACTACAGGGGAAAGGAATTTTTCATGGAAGGGGAAACATGGGCAAAGGCAAAAAGATACAAAGAGCGTAACGACAGGAGAAGCATGTTTCGTTAGCAGATGCTGTTCGATTTTGCTCAGTCCCCTGAAGTTACAATATCGTACAGTAAGTAATGGCGTCCAGACTTCCTCACTAGTCCCAGAATGGAGTTTAACTCATGTTTTTGTTCAAATGATTATTACGTTTTTGCACTTTCTGCTGGTAATGATGTTTCCTATCTATTCATTCAACCAGTATTTATTGAGTGCTTTTTATGTGAATATGTCAGTAAAGTAAAATGCTCAAATATCCTTCCCCTCCCAGAGCTTGCATTCTGGGAGTGAAAGAATAAAGGCAAACAAATATGTATATTTTATAGGTTTTGTGGGGGTTTTGTTTGATGGTGATAAGTGTCGTGGGAAAAAATGAGAGCCAGATAAGGATGATGACACAACTCAAGGATGACTAAGGGTCACGTGTTTTGCATATGCCTTTGTTTCACACTAAGAATTACACTCAAAATCAAATCACTATATTCTCAAGACTATAGAGATAGTGAAGCCATACTGCAATACTTAAAACCTATTATTTATAACGTCTTATGATTTTGCCAAGTTCTCGCTATACAATAAATCAGCCTATGAGTCAGATAAGAACCTACTCTTAAATGACAGAACAATTCCTCCTCTTTACGGTTATGTCTTGCCCTGATAAACCACTAACCTGAATACAGTAGGCTAAATCCAGTAGTCTAAGACAGTAAAGCACAGCAAACCTATGATACATTCGGAAACAACAGACTTCATCCTAACACTACCAGCTCCTTTGCTCAAGTTTCATTGGATAGTGTGAGGATATAATAAAGTGGGATGGCTTTTGAATAGGGTGTAAATTACCAGAAGGTAGGTTGCTAATAGGATAAATTTCTGAAAGTGCCCTAGTCATTCAGAATATGCATTTGGATATATCTAAAATCATCTCACAGGAAAATTAATAGACCCACTGAGAAATTCAAAGTAGGGCATCTAGCAACATACATACAACAGATTCTAATTTCGCTGGCATTTAACTGTTTGTTATATTCAGATGAATAATCTGACAGCCCCACGTGTAAATATATATCTTACAGGATGCATTGAAGCAATTGGATGTGACACATAAATTAATAAAGCAGGACACTGGTCTTACAGGTACTCTTGGTACTCTATTTTTGTTTCCAACTTCCTAGAATTAGCCGTTCAATGTTTAGAATCAGCCTCAGTTGATTCATTTCTTGTGCTATTTTTTTACTGAACGGGGGGTGGAGAACACATGTACTTGCCTCTGCCCTTCCACACATATCAGGTTTTCCTATCATTTAACTCAGAGCAGCACAGAATGTAATCAGGGCTTTTACTTAAATTACAGTGTACATGAACTTTGGTCAGGAAATACTCCAGTGTGCACCCATGCAGTTCCTTGGGGGCTGTAAGAGCGAGAAC